CGTAATTAGTGGTTTCATCGAGTCCGAAGCCCCGGCCCCCGGGTGTAACACACCAACGAAACACCCGGAGAAGGAGGCCACAGGGTGCGGCACCGCTGGTCGAAACGGCGCGGAAGAACCCGCGTTAGAAAGAGTTCGGACGAAAATCACCCGTTTCCTGTAGTATAGCGTTACGAGATCCTCAACCCTCAACGAGTTCGTCAGTTTCCAGTACATCGCCACTTACTATACGGTCAATCCCATTCCCGGTACCCGTGGATGATACAAACGAACAACGCTTCAGCCTCCGCAGCACCAAACCCCCACACACACACACCCGAGAAAAAAGAAACGACGCCCCGCACCAAAAGGTATGACTTCGAAGGGAGAAGACCTCGGAATGGCGAGTGACCATGGGTGAGTTTGGGAGTGCCCAGCTTCGGCCCAGGCTCGGCCCACCATGTACCGCGGAGGGGCGACACGTGAACGGAACGGCGAGGCGGTGCCCCTATAGGTGCCCCTATAGTAAGCGCTTGCTTTGGTTCTTTGGTCGAGCTCAACAGGTCTCGACGTCTATGAGTCGTTGAACCATGTGCCCAGAGAAAACCTTATCCCTTCAAACTTGAACCATTGCTTGTTCAGGTCATATCACGTGTTCAGGTCACCCATTCTAGCAAGATCTATTTTTGACCGCCGAAACTCACAGGAAGCTCCCCAATAGTTTACAACGACTTCCTCTACCGGGTGCAGCTATTGGGTTCCTGTCCACACCACGCGGCGGCCAAGATTTCGGTCTGTGGCAGAGATTTCGACCATGGTGTGTGGTGAAGTACAAACTCTTGATTAAAGAAAACAACAAGTTTTGAGAACCCATGATAATCCATGTCTGGAAGGTCTTAGTCTGAATTGATCAAGAGTCTACATTTACTGTAGTCGGGGTTGTCTCCTTTGTGGCAACCCGCGACAACTTGACTTGCGCCGCCTTGTGTCCCTGCGGCCCCCCAGAGCCACAGGGCTCTGCCCATGACGACCGGGGTGCCGCGCCAGGAAGATGCCGTTGGCCACGGCGGCGACCCAAAAGGCCACGCCCAGCCTCAGCGGCGACGGGCGACGGAGGGTCATTGGTCCTCCAAGACGCACGAAAAACAAGGAGAAACCGCATGAAAAGGAGGGCATTTCCCACACCTCCATGGAGGGAGAGAAGTCTGATCTCCAAATGGAGTGATGTTTCATGATGTGTCCGAGGCCAAAAAGAATGCCAGGCTCGTTGGAGGATATCACTCGTGGGAAGGCCACTCCGAAAACAAGTCCAGGGACTGATGATGGTCAGACTGACGTGGAAAGGGTGCACAAGCTGCTTAAGGGTATTGGGAAGAGCATGAGGTGACAGATTAAGCTCCCAACGCTGGGGTTTGTCATCACCAGCCTATTGTCACTACGATGTCTTCATCACCAGCAACCAAAACCAGCAAAACCAGCGCTGCAGTGGAATTACAGCAAGTGGACCAAATGTGAATCTATCTCGTATCTCGTCAAGACTCTTGGCTCAATTCCCACATGGTGGGATCAAACCGTCATTGAATCCGTGCCAATTAAGAAGAAACATCAAGAACCACCGAGTGCTCGTCACAGTCCTCCGCTCTGTAGACCAAACGGGCACCGGACACCCCCTATCACACAGTCACACCCACCGGACATGAACTTCACCGAGGGAGGCCAGGAGCCCAGGGAACGCATTTGTGACACTCCATGTGTATGGCATATATAATATACCTCTCAATCCAGATACATCCTGAGGTACGGTGAGCAGGGAGACTATTTATGTAGGCGCCAGGGTCGGGCCCAGTCGTACCGAACCCGACACAAAATGAGTCAAGGAGAGTGTAGGTATTAGCTTATATACATCGTAATCAGAAAAACAAAAAAAAACAGTATGCGTCAGTGTACAGTATACATCGCAGTATACCCCCTGAAGCTATCATAGAAGGTGATAAGGATACAGCGCGCGATGAGCTTGTTGCTAAACCTACAAGATCCTGGAGTTTGGATAAGCTTTGCAACTGGAGGAAACGGCAGAAAAAAAAATCGAAAACACTTAATTACTATTACTGGTTTACAGCTTTCTACAGGTGTAGTCTCAAAACAACTTACAGTAATTAATATGAATTGAGGATTTTGAGACTTTGAGACTACAAAATACCAGGTCAATCGCCTGTCCCTCCGCTTCGATCGCCCAGCCACCCGCGGGAGATGCGGAGCAGGGTGGAATCTTCCGGCCGTTCCGACCTGCGAGAGGGGGAAGAGGTTGATGAACCCGACCTACGACCGGCGGGTTGTTGGTTTTGGAAAGAACGAGCAGAGCGGAAGCTGGGCTGCAGTGAGCAAAGTGATTTGTTCGGGGGAAGTGGAGTCGGGGCGAAAAAGAAGCAGCTGGACCTGTTTGGAACAGTTGCAGCTTTTGGTTTCCTGACTTTGGCAGCTTTTGGCGATGAACACCCGAACTGACACGAGAGGGCGGTTTTTTTCGTCGACCGAGAGGAGTGTCGACCAGTCTCGTAGACCGGTGAAGCTATAGTCACTTGCAAGCTACGGTCCAAGCAAAGAAAACCAACAAGAGCTCCAAACATCCAAGGCGAAACAAAAAAGGGGCCAACAAAATGTAAGCTCATCCAACCTCCAACCTGGCAAGGTTACCTCCCTATGGCATCACTTAGGCCAACACATAACGACATTCCATGAAATCAGAAGAAGGTTTTCCTATAGTCAACACATTTGAGATAAATAGTATGTCTTCGGAGGACCTCTGAGGACCTCATAGGTTTTCTTGCGACCCTCAGCCTGATGCTTTTCCGTCGCCTCCGAAAGAAGTTACTTCAGGGAGGGAATTCCCCGATCCACGGCAAGACCGGCGAGACCGGCCCGACCATGTCCGGGAGTCTCACGTTGCTGGCGCTTCTCCTGGTGCTTCAGGGGTCCTTGATTCTAATAAGGTCTAATTCCAATAAGAATAATATATGGTAATGGCATGATGGCATGACCTAATTTCAACAAAGATGGTGATTGGATGAAAACAAAGTCAGGAAGCCACTTGATACGAATCAAGATGAATCAAGTACTATACGGATCGCATGAGTTGATTTCACTTTTTTGTTCACTGGTCAAGCCATTCATAATCATCCATACACCTGCCATCTGGGTGTCCAAACGTCTCCTCCGCGCTCATCATGGGCAGTGCGTATGGTGCCCAAACACAAGTCGTAGGGAGGTTGTTGGCGTGGGGATGTGTGAGGGAAGCTTGGACGAGTGAGATAAGAAGCGAGATCAGGGTCTCAGCACCATCTCTCGTACCAAAGAACACTTGCTGCGCACAATGGGGAGGTGAGCAAGGGACATGAAGGTACTAAGTGTTCTCGCTTGACGAGGAGAATGGGGTGGACAGCTCAAGCCTGCAGTTGTTCGGTGATTGGTTTGCAGAAAGCCTTGGCAAGGCGGTTCAGAAGAATGCCTGGAGCAACCTGAGTGCTTCAGTAAGCCTCGCATGACTTGAACATGATGACTCCTTTTCCAATGGGATTCCAGCTCATTGTTCCATGCGCTGCATGAGCAAATCGTTGTGCTTTCGCCAATTTCCCATCGTTCGCCATGCACGGTCTCGGTCCGTAGCAGGTCTCGGTCTCGTCGAAACGTGAAATCGGAGGAAGAGGTGCTGCAGCATCGACGTGTGGGTGAACTTTGTCAAGTAAACTGCCCAAGAACACTTGAGTAAAGAGTAACAATAAATGAACTGATTGGTTGGGGATCCGGAAAATATCTTTCAATATACCACTGTCACCCAACGCACACAAGTCGAAATCACCACCATTGGAAAAAACACATGAAAAAAAACAGGGGTGCGGATTCTCACCTCTAATAGGAATCTCCAAACTTACACCTCCAGGAAAAACTCCAACACCGTGAAGACAACAAACAACAAACACTTTTTGGAGTCTTGGAGTTTGGTGGCCAGTCTTGGAGTCTGGTGGCCCCCTATCCCAGACACGACAGGACTGCCATAGGACTGCCGAGAAACGGCCAGGGGTGGTTTTTGGGGGGTCAATGTAGTATATGGCATGCATGGAGTGTCTGGGTATGGCACGGGCAAGGATTGGATGGGTAAAATGGCACAAGTCCACAGTATTCGAGTGGTGCAAACCTCCGGTCTGCTTCTTGAGCAAATGGCAGGTCTTGAGCTGATGAACGTGTTGCTGCAGAGTTCTTCTGAAACTAAGTGGTGCGAAACTAGGGACTGTGACCGATAACGATCTATCATCAAAACAAGCATGTGACGGCGGCGGCGGTAGGAGTTGTGCAAAGATTGTAGTAAAGCCTGATACTCCTTGTCCCTCTTAGCCTAAGAACATTTGCAAGATCTGCACCATCGTATTAATCGCTGGCATTGGCATCATCGGTGCAATCACACCTGTCTCAAAATATATCACACCCCCATGCACCAGTGTCAAACTAGCCAAGATGGTCAGGCCACAAACGAAAACTCGGCTTTTTCACCCAAGGACTGGATGATTGAATTTCCATGAACACCCACCGGAAAGTTAGTGATCAGTCTCCATCGGAATCCAAGCACCGGCCCCTTTATGCTGCGGCCATCTCTTTTCTTCTCCGCCGCGTCGACCATGCCGCGCACCGCGTGTCGTCGGCCGTCGTGGGCGTCGTCGGCTGCACGGGCTCAGTGCCTCGGCGCAGCGGGTGCAGCATTTCATGCGGAGGTGCAATGGTGTTGCCGGTGGCCTCAAAATACACTTCGAAGCTTCTAGAATAGAACACGTACGGATCGGCGCTTCAAGCGGTGTGAAGAGTGTATACCAAAAGCACAGAAGTGCTCGTGTTTTTGTTTGATGTTCTTTTCTTATGATTCGAGTACTTTCTGCTAACAGCAGAGAGGGTGGCCCAGGTTCATGGCCAAGTATCGTTGCAGCATCTCCATCTCCATCTGGGACCGTAGTACGGGCGCCGCTGCGCCGGGGTCACCTGCAGTACAAACGGCACGAAAGAACTGACAAAGTGCCTTATACTGGATCTTTCCCGAGGACCTGGTGTCATTTGTTTTCCATAAACGCATCCAAGACATATCAAGAAATCCCTTAATTAAAGACACTCCCAAAAACAAAGGTGAATTCTTTTTCGGAGTGAAAAGGCCCCTGGTCTTCTTGGATGATCAAGTCACAGCTCTGACATCCCACGGGTCGCACGATCGTGACCGTGGGGCTTCACCCGGAAGTTGGGCCATTCGACCGGGCCACGCGAAACATGGTGACCTATGTAGCCTTTGGGGGTGACATCCTCTCCATTCACATCGAGGTAATTTGACATGGTCCTTGGTTGCCTATACATGCTGATGTTCTGGAAACCTCAAACGAGGCTTGTGTAGGACACAATCCAAGCTTGAAGAAAAAAAGAAACATGGACATGGACCTATTGGGGACCGAGGACCATTTTCAAAATTTGTAGATCATGTTTGTCTTACGGATGTTTCACCGGCGACTGTCGTGGAAGCGCCGCGTCCCCGACCCAAGGCTCCCCACGCGAAGCCGCCGCGTCCGCGTGCTGTGCGTCGTGCTGCGCGGCGACCGGGGAGCGCTCCGTCGGGGCTGCTCCTGTGTGATGGAACGCAGGTGATGCCTCAAACTCGAAGGAACTTCATCAACTTCCCCCCCGGGTCATGGGATTCCGAAACTGAATCGGGTGGTTTGTGGTTTGAATGTTTGCTTGCAGGAACTGGTTGCAAAAGGCGCCAGTACTTAGGATTGATGAGTAGACAGTAGACTGCTCAAATCTGTTCTCACCTTGGTTTTATGTCTTTAGCAAAACGTGCGTCCAATGATCCTGGAATGTCGTCAGGTTGACATGATCTCACAAAGAAACCATGGTGAAATATGGCTCATTCACACTTTAAGCAAAAGTAAGTAAAAAACATCATATGGCCATATGGTGGTAAATCAAAAACTCCATTGATCAAGAACCAGGTGGTTGTCTCAAATTCTTCCACACAACCAATCCAAAAACCGAAGCTACGAAGCCGAATGATCTTGGTCAGGTCTTCGCAATTTATATAAATCCCATCTTTTTGAACAATCTCTTGCCAAACAATCCATGCCCTCCCACAGGTTCAATCATGTTCCATGGTGTAGTGCTCCAACTCTGACCTTTGGAAACTGGGAAGCCTGTGAAGCCTGGGGAAAAGTCACCCTTGGAATATATACCCTTGAATCCTTGGTGGCACTGCTTTCTTCTCTTGAACAGATTTCTGAGTGCTGCAAGCTCAAACCAAAACATGTGCAATCTCGAAAGCCATGGAACTTCCTTGCTGAAACTCGACATTCACCCCTTTTCAACCACCCCAAGGTAGGTGAATATTCCATTCCCATGGAGTGCCTTTTTCCATATGGCGGGACAGAACATGAACAGACTTCTTTGGGAGGTCAACCTGCCAGGGTCTACACTCCGACCCACAGCCTGAGGTCTACACTCCGCAGCACTGAAAAACACGTCGTTCCCGACGGCAGGATTGCGGCACTGCCTCCACCCATGTCTCCCGTGCTTGGACCCGGCGTCCTCGCGGCAGCCGCAGCGGCACTGGCCTCCGAACCGAACCGGAACGCCGGAGCCATCGGGAGCGCTTTCAGGCTCGGTCCAGCACCGGTCGCCGGTAGGGTTTGCTCCTCCAAAGCTCCACCGGTTAGGCTCCAGTCCACCGGAGTACATGATGACTTGTTTGGTACTTGGAAAGTAAGGTACATTGACAGTTTTGGGGTTGAACATGAACTTACCCAGTGATAGTATCAGTGTGCTTACATTCGTTCAGAGCCAACGTGTATATTATATCCGTTTCGTGAGTTTCTTCCATGAAGACAAGGGGGTCTGCGATGCGCTTTTTAAGTCCGGGTACACAGCTTCACCACTGGAGTACCCCTCTTCAAGGTGACTGCGGGAAGGGCCAAAAGCCAAACACAAAAGAATCATAAATCAAAGTCAAAGAGTTGGAGAGTTGGCATGTGGAACGAAACATCACACTGCCAGATTGTCCAATCTACTCTGAAACCACTGTACATCTTTGATTGATTCCTTTTCTGAGTCGCTTTGGCCTCGTAAAGACAAGACAGTGGTTCAAAAGGAACACCCAAATTGCATTGGCTATGAAGGTACCTGAAATCTGACATGTTTAAAACACAACCAAAGGTAAACAAGAATTATACCTCAATTACACCTCAGACTCCCAAGAAAAACCAGGGCCTGCATGATTGAGAATGATTGATTTGGCCCCAACAACGACACGAAACACTTGCTCACCCTGGTCGGCCCGCTCTACAACATCCGGTCCTTGGACTTGAGAGGCTGCAGAGAGGGCCAACCACCCGAAGGCTCCGCGAGCGCCTCAAATCTTTGTGAAGTGGATGACTGTTCAAAGACTCCATGGGAGTGGCATGCTTGGCCCAAATTGGGATGGTTGAACAAGGGGGCCTAGGACCGCACGCAGCAAAAACCATAGGATGGGATCGGTCGAACCTTGAGGGATAACTTCGACATCCAACTGATGTCACTTCGCTGTCACATGGGATCCTTCCCGTGCCCCACTTGTAACGTTGGTGGAGGGCCTTTCTTGCAATATCATGCAATATCCAGGAGGACTCGGCTGTCCCCAAAGCAGGACCCCCGAAAAAAAAGAAAAAGGCACGTCCTACCAATGCGTATCAATGGCAATTGGTTCCGGATGATTCTTGCATGACCCTACGATGGCAGAATCCAAACAACGCATTTCGCAGTGATTTCGAAAAAGGATGCCAACTTGAAAGATCGCGGTGGCTTTAGGTCTCAAATACACGAAATCTGGGAACACACATGAACCCCAAACCGATGGATGGCCGCGGCGGGTTGTAGCTCAAAGACCGAGGTCCAGTGGACGGGAGGTGGACACACGTCTCAGTGGACGTTTGCATAGACCAACGCTGGGAAGATTGGAAGCCCTACTAAAGAGACCGGCCTCAAGGGGCTGAGGCCACGTGAGAACTTGTAGGTGTCTTCTGGGGAACCCGGCTCGGAACACATCGGAAGCCAAAGCTGGCACTCAAGGAGCGAGACTTGGAAGCCTTCAGCATTTGCAGTCTTGCCCCTGCACATTGTGGTGGTGCATCCCACTTTCCATCGAACCAATCATAGCATGCGCCTCATAGCCTTCACGCTGGAGGGCAGCTACAATGCCCTCTACATGGCAGCAGCCCACCTGACCAAGATTGGAACCAAAGGACACTCCTGTGGCCTCCGGCTTACCAAGGACAGGGTGTCAACAGGTGTGGGGATCTCTTTCATCAGTTCTTTCATCATCAAAGTTTGCAACAAACGGATTCCCCAAGTTCGCATGGTGAAACAGTCTAGGTGGATTCACATGTTCAGCAAACTCCGGCATGCCCGGTCTGCAATGAATTTGGAAGAACATCCTTGCAAGACCTCTAGGCCAAGCATGTGGTGCTTATATGATGTTTCCTTTCGGTGATTCTGCGAGCTGTGACTTCGACCATTTTCCAGCCCTCGGGTTGATGCCGCCCTCTTCCTGTCCTCACATGGTCAAAGAACCAAGGTCGGCCCCAGCAAAGCATCAGACTTAAGACTACCAACCCTTCAAGTGGGCTCTGCCCTGGCTCTTGCGTCGCATTCCCGACCCCACTCTCGTGGGCTCGAAGGGATCCCAACGCCCGCCGTGAAACCCAAGGAGTGCCATGCCGCCACGCATAATGTGGCTGACAGTTGGAATGTAAGTTCAGTTATGGACTATAGATTCATACTGTATATAGGTTCACATCAACAGAGAACTAGGGCTGAAAAAAACAAAAATAGATTGTCGTGGATTTTTTGATCAATCATGCCTATACCGCAGTGGGAAGTCGAAGTGAGGGGTGAAATCAAGCTCTTGATCCCACGAAGGACAGGACATCGCAAAGTAGAAGCCAAAGAATGGTAAAGGCAACAGGTAGTCCAGCACATCAACATGACATATCAACAAAATGCAACTTGATGAGAAGTCTCCAAAGAAAATTCACTTTGCAATAGAAATCAAAGACCATCGCTTCCAACAACCAAAGCAGCTGCGCCAAATCGTCCTCATTTGGGGTCATCCTACAACCCCAAGAGCTCTTCACTCCTTCCTCCAAGAGCTCTTCTCCTCTCCGGTGAAACTGCCTGCAGCACGGCCCGCTGCTTCGGCTCGTTGATCGCGTCGCCGAAGAGGACACGACAGGGTCGACCCTCCAGTGCCTCAGGGCGGCAGATGGAGCAGCGTTGCTTGGTTTCAGGTGTTGGGGAGAAAAAAGCACAGGAGACATGGCGATATTGGGGTCAAAACTCTGGTTGATGTTCGGTGGGAATAACACCGTTATACGGTTTTGACCCGCCATGTCACCGGAGGGGGATGGACTGGAATGTTGTTGGTTCATGTACCGGGACCCGACTTCAAGTACCTTAGAAAATGGGACATGTCGGACATGACACTATAGAAACAGGTACTTGTGCCCATTTTCTGAGGTACAAACTGAAACTCCAGGTAGGGGGGTGGTTGAAAAAGGATCACTTGGTGACCCTGAGCATCCGAACACGCAAGAGATGGAACTGGAATGTCCAAAGCTACATTGATCCCTGAAACAATCACACCAAAATGATTATTGTTAAATGTGCTCCATCGGAGTGTCTGGGTGAATGGAATGCCTCCATCGGGGCCAGCGCGTTGTATGTTAGTAGTCTCGTTTGTCCGGCTACAGCTGTCCTTTAATGATCGATCATTGTTTTGGATACTGGCAAGGCAGTGAACATCAGAAACATGCAGGAACCCTGAAAGTTACCTTTGCCTGCTTTGCTTGGGAGGTATCCTCTGGAGTCTACTTGTGAGGCCATATGAAGCCATACATGGTCTGGTCAGGACATGGTAGATGTAAATAGGCCTCATTGTCACATGCATACCTGCACTGACTCGTCCCTTCTGTTTCATGCTGGGACCACACAAATGCCTTGGCGGAGAGTTTCTTATTCATCACAGCACTTAGTGCTCAAGTGTCACTTCAGACAAAACAAGGCCAGTGTTTCCTGCAACCAGGTGGATCTAGGTGATCGAAGTGGATTACCTCGTTTTTTCATGTTTGTTCATCACCTGGATGAAGCCTGTTTGATCGTCAAAGCCAAGCCTAGCCGCTGCGATCACTGCTTTGGCCATCGCCGGGTCACGCTCCTCCAGCCAAAGACCTGAATGCAGTGGTGAGGTGGGGGGGCAATAGCCTGGAAAATGAGTTGGTACAGATCACCCCTCAGGCTCAGCACCTTCTAGTTTGCAGAACAGCGAAGTCGATATCTCAGAATGCCCTGTTGGCTTCAAACATGGAATGACCCAAGTATAACAAGGGCATCGTTACTAGGAACAAGGGCAGTACTACTAGTAACAAGAAGCAAAAGCTATCAGTAACAAGTGCAGCGCTACTAGTAACAAGAAACTACTAAGCTCTTTAACTTTTAACCTTTAGATGATGGCAAGTGAGTCACCAAACTGGGCTATTTGGACCATTGGCCAGGTTTTGGCAAACATCAGGCTTGTCAAGCTAAACTGAAGAGAGGTGAAGGCAGGCGAATCATCTCACTCATGCCCAGTTGGTGAGTGGTCCCAGCACCCGGTGGGAATGAAACATGTCAACCGTTTTGGTGGTTTTGGTGTATGTGGAGTTGACATACTTGCTTTGAACCTCGCTTGCAAACTGTTATGTTGACTCTTGCGCTCGCCCTTGAGCCTTGCGGCTTAGGGTTTTGCACCATAGTGTGTGTTCTGTATGTTCATGTTTGACCCCTGTCCCTCGCTGACGGGTCACTCCACCGTGACTCGACGGCACGTGAGGCCAACCACCTGTCCGTCCGAGGCACGCCGCGTGGCCGCTTCAGCATAGCCCACGGCGGGGCCTCGGCGGTCGGTCTCGCGACCGAGCACGGGCAGTGACTTCGCCATGGAGTGGGGGGGACGAATCCGCGGGTGAAGGTCGTTCTACATCCACGACCTGGGGTAGTTCAAGCGCCATCCACCTGGGATGCTCTTGGGTTGGGCTTTTCGGTCTGTCTTAGGAAATGCTGGTTGGAGGCCCGGCCGACGAAGCCACTCTGAACAAAGCCACGCTACGGCCTCAACATGGAACCTTAGAACCACAGCTGGGTTATAGAAGCAAATATAAGCAAATCTACCGACCCCGGTCTAGGATATGCGGCCTGGGTGTCCACGCATCATCGGCATTTTGTACTTATTGGCGTCTACAAACAGATAGATAGATAGATAGATAGATAGATAGATAGGTAGGTAGGTAGGTAGATAGGTAGATGGGTAGATGGGTAGATAGGTAGATAGGTAGGTAGATAGGTAGATAGGTAGATCGGTGGATGGGTAGATAGGTAGATAGGTAGGTAGATAGGTAGATAGGTAGATCGGTGGATGGATGGATGGATGGATGGATGGGATGGGATGGGATGGGATGGGATGGGATGGGATGGGATGGGATGGGATGGGATGGATGGGATGGGATGGGATGGGATGGGATGGGATGGGATGGGATGGGATGGGATGGGATGGGATTGGATGGGATGGATGGGATGGATGGGATGGATGGATGGGATGGATGGGATGGATGGGATGGGATGGGATGGGATG